TATAGAATATAGATTTAATGAATCTAATTAATGTAAATGATTCAATATTTGAACGAACATACTGGGCAATGTTTCGATATAATGAATATGATTCATGTATATCCTGGCAGGGGGCTGCTAAGGTTTCGATATTAATGATTGGTCAGCAAGCTATAGTAGATGCTTATCTCTGCCTTATACATTTGACTGCAGGAATTCTAGTTGGTAAGTTTTTCAAATAAGTGCCAAATTTCATAAAATCTCTTAAGATTGCTCTACAAACAATTCTCTATCTGTCCACCTAAAACATGTTTGATATCCTTGTAGTGTTTTGAGGTACCAGTTATGGTAGAGATAAAATATCTAATAATCCTTTTTAATTCAAAGAGGGCATCAAATATTTTTCTTTACCCTTAATTTTGTTTCTGGGCTGTATGAATACTCTCCGCCCTCTCCTACACACACACACAAGCTCTGGTGCATGTCACATAAAAGAAGATACCAATGTTGAAATTACCAAAAGTAATTGGATTTTGTACTTGGAATTAAACCTTTCTAAGCTTTCGTTACCACCTTGCACCTTCAAACGAATTAAATTAGTTTAATTTGGATTTTATACTTGGGTTCTTTGTAATTCAATCCCTAAAATCAAATTAGTTCAATTACAACATCTAATTCCTAGAGCACCCCACAAATTATAGTATGCAAGTCTTTAAATCTGTGCCATGTCAAGATATCAATTATTTTCTTTTGGTTCATAGTAGTGTATGAAGATTATGAATTAGTTTGGAATAGGTTATTTTTTTTGGTTTTGACTTTTGCACTCTCATTATAACCAAAAGAGAAGATTATAAATATATTTGTGTTCAAATTGATTATCGTATGTTGTTATCCTTGCTATGGTAGATGTGAATTGAGTGGTTGACTATTCTCTTTTTTTAAGCTTGTCTGATGAATAATTGTTGTTATTTCATGCCATGTAGAATCCTTGTTCAACGCTTTTGCAACTGCTGCATTTTTCAAGTTTGTGGTTTTCTCAATATTTGAGATGAGATATCTCCTTGCCATCTGGAAGGCAAGTAGGCCTTTGAGCAATGGTGAAGGTTGGGAGACAATGAGGCGTGAACTGTCAGTTTTATACAGCCGTTTCTGTAAGTGCTCATTTAATCAAAGTTTCTCTCACAATCTGACCTTGTTATCTCATCACTTTGGATATGCTCTAGAGTCATTGGTTCCATAGGATCCATGATTTACGACATTATGTTTTGAACTGTCATAGTAACTCTACGTCCTCGGCCTAGCAGCCTGCCGAATACCTTTGGGATAATTTTTTTTTATTAATTTCTTTATAAAGCTATGTTGCTTGCTTGAAAAATACTACAAATACAATAAATGCAAGTTGAAATGCTGTTTTCTTTTCTATGATTTTCATATTTAATTAATTATATTTGCTTCTAGTCTGCCAACCTATGAAAAAAGTATGAATTAGCCAAGGGTCCATATGTTAAATAAGCATAATGTGATGGCCAATATCTGAGAGTATAAATTAAATGTTTTAATTTGGCATATCAGGGTATGCTACTTTTGTACCTGATATTCTTGTATGTTAAAGCCGCCTTAATTGTATTCTCCTAGCCTGCCTTAATTGCAGCCTGTTAGTTTAACATCAATTAGAGATAGGGTTTAAACAAAGCTTATAAAACTTGAACAGTCCTCACCTTACAAATCAGTTTTCTGAAATCAAGTTAGGCACTAACACTAAATTCTAATTTATTTTTAGAATGCCCATATCCAAATATTCCCTATTGTTCAAGCATGCCAGATAACTCTTTCAAGTTGCTTCAACTGGTGCAAAGATTTCCTTGTATGAAAAAGTGAGGCTCAGATCTAATCTAACTGTTTAAATTTCTCTTGCAGATGGAATTCTATTGGGAGGCATTCTTCTCATGTATGAATTCCATAATCATTTGAGACCTATTCTTCTTCTTGTATACTCCTTTTGGATACCTCAGATAATCACCAATGCTGTTCGTGATTCACGCAAGCCGTTGCATCCTCATTATATCTTAGGCATAACCATTACTCGGCTAGCGATCCCATTATATATTTTTGGTTGTCCCAACAACTTCTTGCGCATAGAACCAGATCAGAGCTGGTGTGTTTGTTTGGTTACATTTGTTGGACTTCAAGCTGCAACTCTCTTGCTTCAGCACTATTTTGGTTCCTTGTGGTTCATTCCTCGTCAGGTTGGACCCAACTCTTTCTTGATATTTTTTAACCACTTACAATCATTTGATTTCATCCAATTCTTCCTAAATTGAAATTTATTTTTTTTATAATTATATTTTGTTATAACTGATGTTCCTTTGAAAGTTTGAAGGATTTCTAGACATCATACAAATATGGCTGGCTCTAGTCTATTTTGATGATTTTTCTCCACAGTATTGGCTACTTTGTTTCATTTTTTTAGATCATGAGCATACTATTGATAATAACACTCATTGTTTTGGGTTCTTGCCCCTAGCTTTTCTTAACTGAACATGCATAGTGATGTGCGACTGCATGTTACCTTTTTACTTTTTAGTTTTTACATAATGTTTCTCTCTCAGCAAACTTTGTCTTTGTGATTTGCAGTTTCTACCTGAGAAATACAGCTATTATAGGAGATTTGCTCCAGATACAAATCATGCTACAGACTGTGTTATATGCATGACAGCCATAGATCTTTCTCCGCGATCTAATGATTGCATGGCATGTGAATATAACCTTTTTCTATCCAAATTAATCTTTACAATCTAAATATAACATTAGTCTAATGCTCCAACACTTTCACAGGTGACCCCTTGTGATCATTTTTTCCACTCTGGCTGTTTGCAAAGATGGATGGATATAAAGATGGAGTGCCCGACTTGCCGGCGCCCGCTTCCACCTGCATGAAGAAATTTCTGGTTTTCATATCAATAGGATCAACTCACACTGCCCAACTACATAATTTTGGTAATATGCTTAGTGGCCTCAAAGTTTTACATTTTTCTTTGTCTGATAAATTATTTAGCTTTTAATGTTTTCTGATGCAAGAGAATGATATCTGAGCAATTTTTTGTAATTTGATTTTTCTTCCTGAATCCACATGCTAAGATTATGGCTCTTTACATAATTTTGAAAGACAATGAACATAACTATTTTTTCCCTTTTAAAACATTATTTTTTTTTTCTTTTTTGTGAAAATATAAGAGTACTTTTGTTATTCTGTTCAAAATTGAAATCAGCATTTATATTATCTTAGTTTTCTACTCTTTGCCTTATCTAGAGTTCAATGGTAGTCACTAACATGATATCATCTTAACTGTTAAGCTTGTGCTTTACAATTATTTTTTTTTTCTGCTGCTTCCCAGGTTGGGATAGAATCCGTATTCCGTATAATTGCACCTTCAATACAAGACCTAAATACGATACCTTCTCACAATTGTATTATGCAGCATTGGTATAATTTTAGTTCTTTTTTCTTTTTTCTTTAACCTGTGATGTATCAATGATGTTGTACATTAGAAATTCAATATTATAATCTTTTATTTTCATCCATAGCTTGTAGTTCATCTCTTTATTTTCCATCAGTGCTGACAAGTGTGTTTTTTTCCACGCTCAATTTTTATGTTAAAATAATATCAAATTTAAAGAGCAAAAGTGTTCATGTAAAAAAAATAAAAATTGGGCAAAATGTAAAGATAAAATAAGAGCACAAAAATATCTAGAAGTTGAATTTAACATAGAGATGTAATGGGTTATCTGAGATTTGAATAATAAATACTTTCCCCCATTGAAGAAGATAGAACAATAATCACAAATTTTGAACACGAAAATGGTCGAGCGATGGTGAAAAATATACCATTTGAAGAGATTATCAAATAGATGTGTTTAATGTTTAACCGTATTTATGATCCATTCATGTGATTAATGGCATGCTATTTTTTTATTTTTATTTTTTATAACAGTATGCTAATATATTTTATGAATAAAGTATAAAACCCAAATTGTATAGCTGAAGTAATAGAAATACCCTCTTTTCAGCCAATAGAAAATATCTTCAAGGTTTCTAGACTATTGATGTTTGGAACTTTATATTATGAAATAAAGATTTAGGTGAACCAATAACAAAGATATTTAAAACTTCATTACATTTTCTAAAACCCAAAATCATTAATAAGATGTTTAACTAATGTTTTAAAATCAATTTTATTATATTCACACTTTTTTCAGTCTCTCTCCACTCTCTGGCCGGTTGCTATACAATGTCATATATTCTTAATTTCTAATTATGTTGAAATTTATTGTCACGAATTTTCAGTCACTTATGATTTCAAATAATTCTTTTCTTCAGTTTTTTTTTTCTTTTGACGTTTACCCTTTTACTTTTAAAAGTTAATTTATATTTTTTTTACCTATCAATATTAGCTATGTGTAACGTATATATAAAACATGTGACATGTTAGAGATGAGAATAAAAGAGGTACCTTTTTGCTATACAATATGTATGGTTAAGATTGTATTTAATAAAATAATCTTAACCATCTATCAATAGTTGTGACTAAGATTAGATCCTCTAAACTCTCATCCTTACTAGATATGTCATTTCTCTCTGTTTGTTTACGTCATTGTGTATATATATTTAAAAATATCTAAATATGAAATACTTATTTTTCAATGTCAAGCATAGGAAAAAAATAAGTGAAAAATAAACTTCTGCTATTTAAACTCTCATAAAACATGAAAGAATCACGATTTCTAAAATAGCGTGAAGGAGTTGCAAGAAATTATTTAGTTCAAGATTATGATAGTCTTAATCATTCTTTACATGATATATAATTAAATGTTATTATTTTTTATAAATTAATTTTTTTTTAATCATATCTCACATGAAAATTGATTGAGATAAAAGACGCATCATAGTCCTGAACAATGTAATAATTTCTCAGGAAGAATGTTGTCCTTATGGCTTCACCCTTTGAACCAAGTATTTCCACAAAACAAGAGATATCTATGAACTTGCTCATTTCCTGTCAAGCACAACACTTTACAAGGAATAAGACACATGACACAACAGAATACACTCACATTAATCAATCAACACACCACTTTGTATCTACAAGGTGACTCCCTAACTCAAACTTAAACTTTATTTTCCCTATTCATATCAACACAAACTCATACTCAAGGGTAGCTTGGTGTTGGTGCAAGAAGAGGTGCAGCCACAGGCATTGCAGCAGCAGGTGGAACAGCCACAGAACCAGAAGACACATTGCTCCCAACAACACAACAAAGCTCAGAACACTCAACAGGGTGTTCAAGTTTGGCCTCACATTCCTTCTGGCTCCTCTGAAGTGGCTTCTCAGGCAAACAGTTCCTTCTGTCATCAAACACTATTCTCTTTGATGTCAAGTTCTTACAGATACCCTCTTCCTCACAGAAGAAGTTGTAAGAGAAAGTGAAGTTTGCCAAGTTTGGCAACTCACAAACCCCCATAGGGACTATGCCACTCATCATGTTGTGCCCTAAATTTAGTTGCTCCAAGTGAGACAACCCTGCAAGGCTATAAGGTATGGGGCCCACAATGTCGTTGAAACTCACATCCAACACTCTTAATTTGTATAGAAACCCTACTTGCTGTGGTAAACATCCTGACAAGCTTGTGTTGATCAGCACAAGCTCCTCCAAAGTGTCAGCCAAATTCACTATGCTCTCTGGGAGACACCCTCCAAATTTGTTGTTGGCAAAGACTAGAACAGAAGCTGAGATTTTTCCCAAGTTTGGTGGAATGGAACTTGTGAAACGGTTGCTGTTTACGAAAATGGCATCAAAGGTTTTGTTGACGAGTTGAGGAGGCAATGGCCCTTCAAATTCATTGAACCGGAGGTCAAGGTAGTTGAGCATGGGAAGGGAGAGAACAACCAAAGGAAAGGGTCCTACAAACCTGTTGCTGCTAAGATCAAGCTCATAGAGTAGTGTGAGATTGGTTAAGGACATTGGTAGGATGCCACAGAAACGGTTGTTGCTGAGGTGAAGGATAGCAAGGTCAGAGAGAAGGCCTATTTCATCGGGTAGGAACCCTGCTATGTCCCCAAAGTTAAGGTCAATGCCAGCCACAACTGTGACTTTAGGGTCATCAAGTGAGGGGGCACAGTACACTCCTGTGTAGTTGCAAACTGAAGGGCCTACCCAGTTGGAAGTGAAGTTATTTGGGTCCGAATAGATCACATGCTTCCATGCTTGGAGGCCAAGAAAGGCCATGTGGAGCCTTGGGTTTAAGGGAGGGTTTTGAGTGTGGTGGTGCTTGTGACTGTTGTTGGCCTTGCTGTGCTTTGCATTGAGGTTGTTTGTGAAACATGATAAGTGGAGGAAAAGGAGGAATAACACACAAGTGGTGGAGGAATAAGATGATGAAGATGAAGCCATTGGTTTGAGAGACTATGGCAATGAATGACTAATGAGTGAATCACTATATATACAAATGAAAAAGAGAAAATGGTCTAGTCTATGCAGTCACTGTATAAAGAGATTTTATGTTGTTATCCAATAATAAATTATCATGTATAGTATGGACATGTTTTGACAAACTTCTCTCTATAAATATTTTTTGGAGAAATAAATATGAGAAGAATTTTACAAATTAATTTATTTATAAACTAATTTTAGTTTATAAAGAAGCTTATTTGAATGTTTCTTCCTATTTTTTATTTTATAAGTACTTATAGAGAAATTTATCTAAACAGTTCTTAAATTTGTTGACTTTTACGATAGTTATATTGAAAGTCATATTTATCATTATTTCTAGTTGGTATATAGTGTAAAGTTTTCTATAACAATAACGCCCGGAAATTAAACTCAAGGAATGAATATATCTTGAAATAATCATAGTATTACAAGTGAGATTAATCTTTGACTTAGTAGATTGGAGAGATCTTTGTAGGACCCAAAATGGCTCTTTCATTTCACTTTCAAAGGAGAAAGCAAAGTCTATTGCTTAATCATGTTGTCTTGTTCACGTTTGAGATTAGTACAAACCAAGATGGTTTTTAGATGAAATAATCCAAAGTTGGAACATTAATCACAACAACTCGTTAAAAGTGACGGTTAACCGTTACTGAAACCTACGAAACAATGTTGGGGTTGTAGGTTCTTTCTCTACCAATGGGTTTCTAGATGGCATGATGGCAGTGGTGACAGATACGGTTTGTACTTACATATACAAAGTCAACAGTGCTCTTGATTCTGTTTGCACTTGACCATGCGCATTACAAGGACTTATCTCCTTCCATGTAATTTTCGTAGTGGTTTGAGTGGAGTTAGAGAGGGACAGAAAGAGAAGAAACTCTCTTTGCTGAGGATCAAATGAGGAAAGGGGTTCCTTTAAACCAAAGGGATAACAAGGAATTTTGTGTTAGATGAAGATTAGCCTCAGATTAATTATGCAAAGTCCTTTGTGGCAACTACCCCTGCTTCAAGATTGTCTAATGCTGCCTGTTGAAACTCTTGGACAAAGGAATCATTACTTTGTTTCTAAAATCTTTGGTATAAATTTGAAGGAAAAAATATACACCAGAAAACTATTTTACATCGAAATCCAATCATAATCTATCATGTATGTTAAATTTTGTTGACTTTTATAATAATTATTTTAAAAATTATACTAACAATAATTTCTTAGATGAAATGCATAAATACTAAACCAATAAATTTGATTTATAGCTATTAAAAAAAAGAAAGAAGTAATTTAGTTCATTTTTTTTTACCATTATTAATGTATTTGATCTCTTGCATGCACCAAAGTTAAGGACTAAATTGAATAATGCGCACTAATGTTAAGAGACTAAGTTATTGATAATTATTAAAGTTAGAAATTAAGTTTACTCTTTCATAATGGAGAATTATTTTAATTAATCGTGTCAGTTTTGAGAACTAAATAACATTTAATATTTAGGAAGCAAATTAATGTTCTACTCCTCTTGCGTCATTCCTTATCCCTGGTTAATTTCTATCCATTGACTAGTTAATTTGGTCATTTTAACAAAGATTAATCAATGATCCTCACATTTTACCTATTAATTCAAAGCATTCAAAATTGAGAACAGAGTTATCACGTTGATGAATATGTTGTTTCATTTACATTATTTTTTAGAGTTGAAAAACTTTAAAATATGTATAGTAATGAATTACTTTATTACGTTGGACTTTAATTTAGATAAGTCGTGTTAGTATGTCTTAGAATATTTAAAGCTTGATAGTTGAATATATTTTAATTGAGCTAGATATATTTCTAATCAAATTTCCTTGTTTTATTACTTTTTATAATTTATTTATTTTATTAGTTTATCAAAAGGAGGGGGGAGGGGGCCTATATCATAATTAAAGTGTGGGTAATAAGTTGAAAGTGCATACATGTATCTTGAAAAGTATGAAATGAGGATTAAAATTGTTACTTAGGTAAATTAGTGTAAATTTTTCTCAAACATTAATATGAAGATGATTTTATAAGAAATAGTGTATATCCTCTTTTAACATAAAGACTTTCTACACTATCATTCAATTGAAAATTATCATGTATAATAAAATTATTTTTACAAAAATTGTTTAAAAATTATATATACTGTGATTTATTATTGGTTTATAGTATAAAATAATTTTACATTTAATATATAATCATTAAACTCTAATTTCTCATTATCAATTTCTAAGATGTAAATAGCAGGAGGAGAGAATGATTTGGAGATATAATTTTAAATTTTTTGCCTCAAAGTCAATATTATCTTAATAACACTTCTTCAAACATCATTGCCCTTTAAGATTTTTATATACAAATTAAAAATAACAATAAATATGATGTAAATAATAATAATAAATATATTTTTTATATATAATTTTACTAAAATATTCACACTCTTAATAAATGTGTTACTTTTAATTGTATTGATCGAAAAATGTATGAGGGAACAAATTAAAAAAAAATACATTGAAAGCCGAGAATATTAGTCATTTAAAAAAAAAATCAAATGTTAAAACTACAGTATTTTAAGACGGAGGGGGTATTTGAATTATGTCAAAGTTAAATCATAAATTGATTATACATGTATTGATAGGATAATTTATTTTCAAGTTTATTGGCATTTGTTTTCGTATTTTATTTGATCTAAAATGTGTAGTCCAAATTGATTTCACCCAATGTGTTTCACCCGAATAACTCAATATAGTGTGATTTAGATTCTAAACAAAAAACCTGACTTGATTATAATTAGACTCATCCCACCCAAATTTTGGTTGGCCCATTAGTTTATAAACTGTGGATTCAAATAGCAAATGATACATAATATATTAATGTGAGAATATAACCAAGTAAATTACACACAATATACAATATTAAAGTTACTATTATGGAAAGTTCTTTCCGGAATTATATGAACAATAATTTTACTATTGCGGAAAGTACTTTTCGAAATGCTAATGATTGTAAAAGTACTTTCTAGAATGTTAATGACTGTAAAAGAACCTTTCTTATGCTGGTTATGGTGAGGCTAGTCCTTTTTTCTATTCAGAATGACTGTAAAAGTATATTGCTTAATGACATTGAGCGGAAAGAGGCTTTGGAAAGAAGAGAGGTGTGAAGTAGGAGTGTAGGGTGCGGGAAAGGGAAGTGTAAATTTAGGAATTTCATCTTTTTTTTTAAAGAGTAATTTAGACATTTTATATATTTTTTTTTAAAAAAGGGTATGTTTATACGAGTGGAGGTGTGTTTATCATCTGCCAAAGATATATTTTAACCTAAAAAAATGCTTAAGCCCAACTATTTAACCCACAACCGAACCCAATACGTAGGTGCCATAATGGACCGAATCTCCCGCATGCAAAATTTTTCGAAAGAAAATAGTTGGATATTAGGTTTAGGCCCGATCGGAGTACAAAACTTGCCCCACTTCGTTGTCGTGCTACCATATACAAACGATAATTTCAATTTTCAGGCTTAGTTATACAACATAGCTTGGGCTAGCATTACCAATTTTCAGGCTTGGTCATACTTAGCTTGCTACCATAAATTTTGTTTGAACATTATCTAGCTATGGAAGAAAAAAAATTAACATCTACAAAAAATGCACAAACAAAAAAGGCTAATTTATGGCAGCCTATGCAGCAATTAAAACCCTGATTTGCACAAGACAAGTACCACAATTAAAATAGGTAACGACAATCAAAATTCACCACCATATAATCAAGATTTGAAAAACTATTAAACGTGCTTGAATATAACAACTTTCACTAGACAATCGCTGAATCGCATAACCACACGGGCATTCAAAACAAGTCTAAATTATTTCTCAACCAAAAGGGGGGTCTCAAACTCCTCGGAATGAAAATCCTTGTTTGCAAAACTATGATTTCTAAATATCAAGATCCTAAATTTTGGGAAAATATTAATACCGATATTTTTCATCCAAAATTATTCAAATGACAAGGAAATCAACAGGAATTGTCGTCATCATTTTAGCCGCCTCCACCAGATCCGTATTTCTTTCCAAACAAAACGAGCTGTAGCTTGTCATAACCAGCAAGCACACCAGCACCTGCTACAGCACGTAATATGTTTGCACCAGCACCTTTGAAGAGTGACTTGGTACCCTCTTTTGCGACGATTGTTTGGAAAGCATGCAAAGAACTCTTGTACTTCACAGCTTCTCCAGAAGTCATCATCATCCTTCTACGCACAGTATCAATGGGATACGAAGCCAAACCAGCACCAATTGTGATTCCCCATCCCAAAAGGAAACTAGCAAAGAAACTATCCTGTTAACACGAAGAGTTCCATGGGTTACATAAAAATAAAATCACAATAATAGGGGGAAATAGCAAGAGTAAAACATTTTAGAAGTACAAAATTCCCAAATTTAAGTTAGCCAGTCATGATGAATAATAGCATAGGAAATAGGTATTTATGATAAATTGTATATAAGCACATCTAAGAGCAGTTAACTAGAGGCTAATATGCTCACGTGTCAAATATGTTGTTAAATCAAGACTATTCTAAAAGTATCATTTTTTAAACCAAGTAAAATCCACACAAAAGGATCAAGGTGACATTTTTATAATTATTCATGTAGCTGATATTCAAACTAATTTATTTAAAAAATAATAATAATGTCTGAAAAACAGAAATCCAAAGAAAAATGAGCCAAAGATGAGTTTTTAACTTTAACAAAATACAAATTAAAAAATACCATATTTCAAATTCATTTTTTACATACCTGCAATCCACCGACCAAAACAACTGGTTTCAGAGAATCATACATTCCAAAGTAAAGACCGCGATACACTATGATTCCAACACATGAGATGTTGAATCCACGATATAGGCCAGCAATGCCATCAGACTGGATGGTTTTCTTGTAAACATCAATCATGCCATTAAACTGCCTCTCACCACCCTTCTTTGCAGCCTTTGCATCATTTGCTAAACGAGTACGGGCATAATCCAAAGAATAGACAAATAACAGGGAAGAAGCCCCAGCAGCACCACCAGATGCCAAATTCCCAGCAAACCATTTCCAGTAGCCATCTTTGTCCTTTTTAAAGTTGAAAAGCCTCTTGAAGTAATCCTTAAAAGCAAAGTTCAGAGCCTGAAAGGAAAATGAGGACATTAGAAATTACAGACATAATAGAGAAACTCCAGAACCAATAGCAAAGACATTTATTGAAATCAAATAAAACATAACATCCTCCTTTTTGTTAGATAATATCCTTGACCTTCCCAAATATAAGCTAATCTGAAAATAGAATAATACAACAGGAACAACACCTAAAAGAGATAACCAATGAGAAAAGTCATTAGATTGCAAATGGATTTCTGTATTGATGAGACACTGCACACATCTGGAGGAAAATCTCATGATACAACAGAATACAACAGAAGTATTTATATGTGTGACATACAACAGAATACATACAATGTAAAAGAACAATCAAGCATTGTCAACAAATGACTGACCACACAATAAAATCAAATTATCACATGTTCAAACAATAACTCAATCCCATATTTTCTAGTTTTAATAGCCCTCAACTCATAGGAACAAACTGTTACCACATGCATAACTTCAATATGCATGCAAAAATACAATGAAGACAACCATCTGTAGAACTCTTCAAAACCTTAATACAATTGAGATTATCACCTGAGTAGGGAAGTATCTGATAACATTAGCAGTATTGCCTCTCCAAAGTGCAATTATACCCTCATCCTTCATGGTTCGGGCAAAACAATCACCAATTCCCTTATATGGTTCAGACAACCGACCACTTTTAATCATTTCATCCTGATTTTGGATAAGGAGTTTGACTCTTTCAATTGGAGCAGCAGCTGTCTTCGACACAGCAGCAGACACTCCACCCATCAGAAAATCCACCAAAAAAGCACCCGCTCCTTTCTCTGCTGGAGCATGTGCAGTAACTGAAGATGAAGGCAACACAGCAGCCAATCCAGAATAATGCACTCCCGCATTGTAGTAAGAACCAGCTGCAGAATAATTCCTGGTGTTGAAGTTGGGGCTAAGCCTGGACATCAGGTAAGACTGTCCAGCTAGCTTCTGAGCAACTGATGGATGCTGCGGTCCATCAGCCATGATTGCAGTCTAGATTGTGACCTGTGAACATTTATCCATAAAAATAAGTCATAAACTTCACCACATCAGAGTTAAAATCCAATTATTAAAACACCATTTAAAAATGCATCTGAAATTCTACACACTGAAATCTGATATACACTTGTCAACTCTGATTAGAATTAAATACGTATCAGCACAAAACTCCTCTACAAACCATTCACAAAATGCACATCTATATTTTAAATGTACGCATAAACAATCTTAAATACAGATAAAATGAAATTCACTAACAATCAAACTCTTGATACAAAAGCAGGAAGAGCATTTTCTTCCTTGTAATAGCACAATACTTCATAAACCTAACCTAACCATGCACGAATCCAACATCACTATTGAAAAACGCAATCGGTAAAAATCTACAAGTTCATAAGTAGCAGAATGCGAGTATATGACTAAGCACGAGCAAACAACACTAGAAAATTTTTAAAACGGTTGATCTTATATTTACTTCTACAAATCACAAACTCATTCTACCTTTTCAATTTCGCTTCACTCGGTTCAGATACCACCGCGAAATCAGATAAAAGAGAAGATCGCACAGCAAATCAAGTAGCAATAAAAATCACATAGGAAGTAACTAGACCACAAAAATTAACAGAGAACGCATACAAAAAAAGTAAAATCGTTGAGAAGAAAAGAAAAGAGGAAAGAGCAGAGAATGGAAGAAGAAAGAGGAATACCAGGAGAGAGGCCTTCGATGAGATCGTAAGAGAATAGAAGCGAATGAGAGAGAGACTATAAATGGGAGCACCGAACGAGGGCATTAGGGTTTTGTTTGTAATGACGGATTTGCCCCTCATTTTTTTCCTTTTGTCTTCAACCATTTTTCTTTGGCGGAAAAAACTGAGGGGGCGTCTGCCCCGACATGCTCTCAGTACTTTTTGTAGACTTCTCCCCCAACAAGGGAATAACTGTCCTAATTTTTTTTTTAATGGAAATGGCTAAGTAGTGCTCCAACACGTATAAGATGTGACCGTTTTGATAGCATCAAATCGATCTATATGTTTTAAGACAAATTTTATAACAACGAATGAAGAAGCTTAATTAATTAGTGTCATCTTCTAACACTCCTAAGTAGTAATAATGAGAATAAAAATAATAATGAGAAGAAGAAAAAAAACAAAAGATTTGCGATGTAAAAAAAAAAAAAAGAGTATTTTACATGCCTCACTAATATTTGTGATTATAGTATCACTAACATTTCTTTAAATACATTGATACTAGTGTAATAACTCGTCTCTTGCATGAATTTTAAAATTATAATGTATTTTTTTTATAATTAATTTAACATAGAAAATAAATTCTATCATATTTGAGAATAGTATTTTCAGTAATTATAATTTTCATTCTATTTAACCAGTGATAATAAAAAAATGACCGTACTATTATAAAAGGAAGTCACTTAAAATTCAGATTTCAGCACATATTAAGAGGAAGTTATTTAAAACTCATTAATTTCAAAAATCCAGTTACCAAATATAACCCCAATAAATGAAATTTGGTATCAACAGAAAACAATTACAGTTTGAATTTCACTTAAAATTGCAATTGTTTTTTTTTTGTTAGAAAATTGTGATTAGTGTTGATAGCTTGTTTTCTCGTTAATATTGATTATTTATTTCATTTATCATATTATCTATACAAATACATAAAGAGAATACCACTTTCAATAATTATTTTTAATTTTAATTTTTATATGAATAACTTAATCCTTTGTTTATTTTTTAATAGCTACTTTTTTTAATGAATAATTTCTCAATTTTTTTTTTCTTTTAATACAATAAAGACAGGAGTACTTTTTTTTACTAGTTATTAATAACAAAATTAGGTAAAATTAATTATGAAAATGAAAACGAACTATGTATATTCCACACATGTACTCTAAACTTTAAAGTTATTAAAGAGTTCATGCGTATTATTCCAAATGTGATTCACTTTGTAAATCTCTATTTATAATGATCAAACCCAACTACACTAGTAACATTGATCGTCAATGGTGGTTAACACACTAATTGAATGCTTTGAAGTTAAGAATCCTTTTCACAAACATAGTTAATCAAGTTATAGACACATTTTTTATTGACTCTGGTGGTTTACACACTTGTACAGTTAGGTGATAGATCCACCTAATTCATGCCAGAATCTAAGTTCTGAGAAACGTTGACGAGTTGAATTGGTCCATGTCCATAAAAGGCCCTTTGGAGTGGGAGCAAAAACTCAATTCTTATGTAAGCCTTAGAAGATGCAGTAATTGAAAATTCATCAAGTCTGAAGAACCTTCTCAAAACTCTGTCCAGTATTATATTATGTAACTTACATCTAGCACCACGGCATACCTATAATGGAAAACCAAGTATCACAGAACTCAACTAAATATATAGATCTCAAAGAACTTGGAACTTTATAGATGATTTGTACATGAAACACGCCCTAGACAATAAACATAACGGCTTATACAACTTTCAATCTGCTTAAAACACTCTACATGTATGTACATATCATTACTTAAATTGGTCAAATTTCTGACCATACTCTAACTACAGAAGACAAAAAGAAAAGGTTTGAATTAAAGGGGATAATGCAGGCTAATACACAAAAACTGAGCTTGTCTCTATAGTGATTAAGTAAGAGTGTAATTTGAAGTGCATATCCTAACTCACTAAAGAGCATGTCCTACAAAACTAAACAAATAAAACAAAGGAAGTTCACCTTCTAAATCTGTCCCTGATTGCTTGCATCGTGCATTTGTTTATTTTACTTCCTTCATCACAAGAATATAGTAGGTTCTTAGTAGCCGCTAGATGGTTAAAACAAAAGTGGAGGCGTAATGATCTTAAAACATTAAGCAGAACACAAGGAAGCCCTTTGCTTTGAGAGTAACTCCTTCAGTTTCTTTATAAGCTGCGGATTGGAGCCCATATAGTCCTGGAAGGACTTCTTCAAATCCTGCAGCAACCTCCTATCATCATCGTGGGGGTATTGGTTTAGCATCTTAGTGAAGAAAGTCTTCCAGAGCTCAATGTTCCAGTAACTGTTTGATTCAATTCAACAAGCAAAATATCAGAACGAAAAGGAAAGTTGATAATAAAAGGAAGGGTCAAAAGCACTTCCGTTGAGGCATTAAAGTTTCCAAACTGACTTTAGTAACCAGGGAACTGGAAAAAGAAAATTTCCATATAACAATCTTTTTAAAACTAGTCGCAGTGCTGAACAAAAGAAACAATTGCATTTTACATTAAGAATATACCGTTTAAAGGGTAGTCTGGGAAGATACACGTAGCTCCCATCAGATTGTTCTTTTTTGACGATTTCCATATACGAGTTATGCAACATCATATGGACAATAGCACAAATGCCATATGCATCTACCTGTTGCAGGTGATAGTGAAGAGAAACTCAATTGCCAGTAAATAATGAATTCCATCGCATTTGTACTTTGCAATGTATTTTAAGAAATGACTTGCCTGAAATTTCCACGGCTTATCCTCTAGCATCTCAATGCAGCGAAAACCAGAAGTTCTGCAATCTCCCTTAAATACTGTGTGATCTGGAAAGAGATGCAGATCGATCCCCCTTCCCCAGTCAACAAGGCAAAGACCCTGCAAGATAAAACAATAAGCACTGTATTAATGAAACCAACAAAAAAATCTTATTGTATCATCCAGAGAAAAACTGACCTGATCACACCAAGAACCACTTCGGTCCAAGAACCCATCTTCTGTAAGGTCACCCCTGAAAAATAGCGAGGAATGTAATTAGCAATATTCACAAATACAAATCATGTAAGCAACTTGACACATTACATGACTGTTATAGCATGCATTGCACATCATACAATGCTCATTAAAGAAAAATATTTCAAGCATTTGCAAGCAGGTTCTGTCATTAAATATGGCAAGGCATTTTATATGATTTATATTGTTGATGCTTTTTTCATTCCAGCAAATGATGCTTTGATAGATACAGAGGGCGAACTCAACTAAATATATAGATCTCAAAGAACTTGGAACTTTATAGATGATTTGTACATGAAACACGCCCTAGACAATAAACATAACGGCTTATACAACTTTCAATCTGCTTAAAACACTCTACATGTATGTACATATCATTACTTAAATTGGTCAAATTTCTGACCATACTCTAACTACAGAAGACAAAAAGAAAAGGTTTGAATTAAAGGGGATAATGCAGGCTAATACACAAAAACTGAGCTTGTCTCTATAGTGATTAAGTAAGAGTGTAATTTGAAGTGCATATCCTAACTCACTAAAGAGCATGTCCTACAAAACTAAACAAATAAAACAAAGGAAGTTCACCTTCTAAATCTGTCCCTGATTGCTTGCATCGTGCATTTGTTTATTTTACTTCCTTCATAACAAGAATATAGTAGGTTCTTAGTAGCCGCTAGATGGTTAAAACAAAAGTGGAGGCGTAATGATCTTAAAACATTAAGCAGAACACAAGGAAGCCCTTTGCTTTGAGAGTAACTCCTTCAGTTTCTTTATAAGCTGCGGATTGGAGCCCATATAGTCCTGGAAGGACTTCTTCAAATCCTGCAGCAACCTCCTATCATCATCGTGGGGGTATTGGTTTAGCATCTTAGTGAAGAAAGTCTTCCAGAGCTCAATGTTCCAGTAACTGTTTGATTCAATTCAACAAGCAAAATATCAGAACGAAAAGGAAAGTTGATAATAAAAGGAAGGGTCAAAAGCACTTCCGTTGAGGCATTAAAGTTTCCAAACTGACTTTAGTAACCAGGGAACTGGAAAAAGAAAATTTCCATATAACAATCTTTTTAAAACTAGTCGCAGTGCTGAACAAAAGAAACAATTGCATTTTACATTAAGAATATACCGTTTAAAGGGTAGTCTGGGAAGATACACGTAGCTCCCATCAGATTGTTCTTTTTTGACGATTTCCATATACGAGTTATGCAACATCATATGGACAATAGCACAAATGCCATATGCATCTACCTGTTGTGCTTATTGTTTTATCTTGCAGGGTCTTTGCCTTGTTGACTGGGGAAGGGGGATCGATCTGCATCTCTTTCCAGATCACACACTATTTAAGGGAGATTGCAGAACTTCTGGTTTTCGCTGCATTGAGATGCTAGAGGATAAGCCGTGGAAATTTCAGGCAAGTCATTTCTTAAAATACATTGCAAAGTACAAATGCGATGGAATTCATTATTTACTGGCATTTGAGTTTCCCTTCACTATCACCTGTAACAAGTAGATGCATATGGCATTTGTGCTATTGTCCATATGATGTTGCATAACTCCTATATGGAAATCGTCAAAAAAGAACAATCTGATGGGAGCTACGTGTATCTTCCCAGACTACCCTTTAAACGGAATATTCTTAATGTAAAATGCAATTGTTTCTTTTGTTCAGCACTGCGACTAGTTTTAAAAAGATTGTTATATGGAAATTTTCTTTTTCCAGTTCCTGGTTACTAAAGTCAGTTTGGAAACTTTAATGCCACAACGGAAGTGCTTTTTACCCTTTTATTATCAACTTTCCTTTTCGTTCTGATATTTTGCTTGTTGAATTGAATCAAACAGTTACTGGAACATTGAGCTCTGGAAGACTTTGTTCACTAAGATGCTAAACCAATACCCCCACGATGATGATAGGAGGTTGCTGCAGGATTTGAAGAAGTCCTTCCAGGACTACATGGGCTCCAATCCGCAGCTTATAAAGAAACTGAAGGAGTTACTCTCAAAGCAAAGGGCTTCCTTATGTTCTGCTTAATGTTTTAAGATCATTACACCTCCACTTTTGTTTTAACCATCTAGCGGCTACTAAGAACCTACTATATTCTTGTGATGAAGGAAGTAAAATAAACAAATGCACGATGCAAGCAATCAGGGACAGATTTAGAAGGTGAACTTCCTTTGTTTTATTTGTTTAGTTTTGTAGGACATGCTCTTTAGTGAGTTAAGATCTTAATGCACTTCAAATTACACTCTTTATTTGTTTAGCCTGCATTATCACCTGTAATTCAAACCTTTTCTTTTTGTCTTCTGTAGCTAGAGTATGGTCAGAAATTTGACCAATTTAAGTAATGATATGTACATACATGTAGAGTGTTTTAAGAAGATTGACAGTCGTATAAGCCGTTATGTTTATTGTCTAGGGCGTGTTTCATGTACAAATCATAGATGAATTCAGCATCAACGAAATAATTCTTTCACATAAGAGAGAAAAGGAAGGAGAGTTACGTAGAGAAGCCAGATCTTGAGGAATCTGACGTCGTTTCGGTACCGTTCATCGTCCTTGAATTTTCCGATGCAATCTCTGAGTAAGTTACTGAGATTCGGAGCGGGATTGTTGGAACCTTCTAGAGCTTTCCTGATAGACCTAAATTCACAGAGAGCAGAAGAGTGATGAGATTGAGGATCTTCGGGAGTGCGAGAGAGTGTGAGAGAGAAAGAGAGGAACCAGAGAAAGGGTAAGAGAGGATCGTGGTGAGCGTCGACGGCGATATTGATACGGGGTGCGTCGCTGAGCGTTGTGGTGGTCATTGAGTTCAAAATTGAAATTGTGTGAGAGACTCGGAAAGTTGAAGCGCGGAAACTGCACCAATTTGAATCTGCCTCGTTTATTTTTTTATTTTAAAAGAAAAAAAAAATGTGTTTAACCTGTATATTATATCATTTCAAGATAGATGATTTACAAAAATAGCTTATTTTGAGAAAAGAAACTATTGACCTTAATGAAAATAAGCTATTTTGTATAACCAATGCACAAGTTTTTTTTGGCGAAATTAAATAGTCGCTAATCACTATAGAGGCTTTTCCTGTTGAGATGTTTTCTATGCTCATGACCGATGCTACTACAGTGTCATTCATAAGATTATAATTTTCTCTCTGTGTGTTGCTTTATTTGCATATGTTACAAAAAAAAAACAATAATAAACATAAAATAATATTTTACCATATTAACACTCTTCTTTTAATTTATAAATGTTAGGGGACATTTACAACTGGACAAATATTTTAATGTTTGGAAATCATAAGTTTTTTATAATTTGAAGATACTTTATTATTACAATATTTATGGGTTCTCGATCCTTGTACCGTAAATGTACGTTTATAATTTTGAATTATAACGATTGTGTTTTGTTCCTGCTGTAAGTTCCGTAAATCTGCTATCATCGTTAGGGTTCGTTGGGTTGCCGTCACGATTTTGTCCGGCGTCTTGATGAGTTAAGGAGGAAGGGTAAGCCTCGACGTGAAACTTTTAGGCAATATCGGGACAAGCCTCACAGTCGATGCTAAGGCCCTCTTTCTAGCGCCAATGTTCCTATCGTAAGTCCGCTGTCATCGTTAGGGTCACCGCATCCGAGGTATTGTCCGTTTTGCTTCGTTGGGCTGTCACAGTTTTGTCCTTTAAAATGTGTCTCGACTCTTAAGTGATGTGAGACTTTTAGGCATACCGGAACATGTTTTATTTCACATTAATTGTTATTATGTTTAATTTTAAATTATTTTAATTAAAATTATTATCATGAATTTTTCATGATTTGAATTGAGATATAATCGGATTTAATTCATGACGACAATTCTTATTAGACCTAAATTACCATACAATTTTGCAATTCACATGTTTTATCTTGTATGTGCTATCTGGATTGGTATTATATTAAAATACTATTTAGTTAATGTATATAATTTTTAGACCTATGTAGACTATGCTGAAAGGCAGTAAGTTTTGAATTTGATCGTGAATTTCAATTTTTTCGGAGGTGAATTTCAATCAATAACGATTTATTTTAATTATCTATAAAATAATAAATATTAAATTATATGATTATTGATTTATTGGTACATTAGGATTATCCAAAGGTAATAGATAATTTAGTTGCTGCATATTTTGTGGCCGAATAATGTGTCTCAAATCTTTATGATTATGAGCATTATAAAGTTTCTAAGATTATATTAATTTTTTATTACTAAGAACTCAAAAAATAAAAGTCTAGTAATACTTATAATTTTAATTAATTATTGATTAGTGATAACATTTTTAAGTAATTAAAATTATATATTTTGTTACTTAAATCGCATAAATAATCAAACATAACATTGATCGATTTTACTTAAATATAATATTTTGTCCTATATGAATTATTGTTATGTGCATAATTAATTAGGATAAAAATATTAAATTATATTTCTTAAGTTATTCATAAAAAAATTTATAAAAAAAAGGAACATAATTTGATAGTTTTGTCATAAGGTTATGTGATGAATCAAATTGAATAAAATATTAGTTATATTTATATAATTATTCTTTATTTTATTATTATTATGGATTAACATTAATTAATAAATTATATTTATATGTTAATATCAATTATATTGCACATTGTTATTAATTTATGAGTAATGTATATTGGGCTTCTGATGAATGGTCTATGATGGATTGGACTATTCAGTAACCCATTAAGAGGTCTATGGTCTCTATTGGTAAGGATATAGAACTGATATCCATTAGTCAGTTTATTGGGAGAAATTCATTTTCTGTCTTCTGCCTTTTCACCTCCTACAGGAAGAGAACAGTCTTATCTCACGTTATTCAAAACCTATAAGAATGGATCCTTCATTGATTATCGATACGCAATTTTTTCTAAACCTTACTCAAACATATTATAATATTGTATCTGATATTATTCATTATTTGAGTTATCACTATGAATTTCTAACAATTGGTATCAAAGCCATTAAGATACAAATTATGGTTGTTCTGGTTATAGTATCAGTATCTTATGTATGAATTATTCACAAATTGTATATGAAAAAATTAGGAATTTTTATTGTAGGATATTTATCCTAATGTGTAAATATTGTATAGGTATTGCAAATGTCATATATCAAGTTCGATTTTGATTTCGAATAACAGAAATTATTTTCTTCTTCATTCAAAAATGGCAACTCAGATTATATTCATTAATTGAACAAATTGTTAAAGGGTTTTTTTTTTTGCATGTATTTCAAACCTTGTGCAAACTTTTTTCCGAACTTGTTCTATTCAGTGAGTATTTAAATTCGTTTTTCCTCATTTCTCGATGATTATTCGTGTTTAAATTCGTTTTTGTCGCTTTTCATTGCGGATATCTTTAAAACCCCAATTTCTTATATTTGAGATTATTTTCATTTGAACCGATTATTCTTGAAATTGATAGGGGGTTTTGGACTGTCGTGAAGGGACAATCATTTGGTCGGAAAATCGCAGTCTGTCATCACCTGTAATGATGGTTTTGCATCAGGTTTTTGTTATGGGTCAAACGACCCGTTTTTTGTTTTCTAAGTGAAGGAGAAGATGAACAGTAACGTGCGTGCCTGTCCACTCGCGAAACCAGGCGCATGAGACCCTATTTTGACCAGAAAATTTATATATATATTTTAAAATTAAATAATTAATTTTCTGATTATTTGGTATATTTTTTGTAATTTTTTTATACCTATAACTATTTTATTTTAATTATTCCAAGAATAAAACTTAATTTGAACTTAATTTTAAATATTGTATTCTTGGGATTTGGGTCTGAAATTTATATATACATATATATGTTCCTTGATATCTCAATGACATGTTAGTATGTTGTACTCTCCCTAGTAGCATACATATATTCGAGTTAAAAAAAAATTGACCCTTATTTGTATTAATAGTTGTTTATTTTGTATTTATTTCATATGTTGTTTATGTATAATATAATTTTATTATATTTTGTTAAGCATGAGTAATATAATTTTATATGGGTATAGTTATATAAAATTTGTGTGAATAAAATAATTTAATTAATTCTCTAATTAATTTTATATTACATTAATAATAATTGTGTTTTATCGGTATTTTGTTGTTAATGTATTTTGGTATTATGATACAATTTTTTTTTTAATTTTATCTTATGTCAATTATTTGTCAAGTACCTATTGGTATTAGATTTATTATGATTCAGGACCCT